GGGAGCGGGAGCGGGAGCGGGAGCGGGAGCGGTGTCCTGGGGTTGGCCGGGAGCTGCAGAGGGCAGGAGGGTGGCAGAGGTGTGCCTGGTGAGCGCTGCCAGCAGGCTGCCCCTGGCAAAGCGCTCTCAGCCTGCTTCTAGCAGCTTCCCAGGGTCCTGCCGCAGCCAGAGCGCCCTCAGCCGCTCCCCGCCTCGCAGCCCTGGTGGCTGTCTGGGTCTGGGCTGAAACCCGCGCAGGCCTTCAAGGAGAAGGAAGGCAGGCCAGTGGTTTGTCCTGTTTGGTGCCCGAGCTTCTTTTGTACCGCCTCTCAGTGCAAACGTAAGTCTCAAGGACTTGACAGTCCGAATGGTGTCACTGTGAAAACCAAGGCAGGCATCTAGATTTGAAAAAAAAATTGTTTGCAAGTCACAAGCTTCCATGTAAAAGTAGAAATTAGCCTAGCTGCATCTTCTGTAGCCAAGGAAATAAAAGTAGGGAGAGATGGCAGCTGGTGCATGGTGGTACGAGTGCTGTTAAAACCTAGATAACCTGCTTGCATCCAACAGAGACTTGGAAAGTTTGGGTCCAGCAGCACAATGTATATATGGCTATTTTGTATGAAAAATCAGCATCCAAGTTCAAAAGCTTCAGCAATAACGGATTAAAAAAGCTGGTTGTTGTGTGTCGTCCCCCCCCGCCCCCCATGACTACACATTGCAGGAGAGTACTAGAGCTTGGGGCTATGTTGTTGGTGGGCATAGATGCAGACAAAAGGTTTTTGCAGAGCTAGGATTCAGCCGTTAAGTGAGCTGTGAATTTTTTAGTGTAGTGGTAGTAGCTGGACTTAATGTACCGTTGAAATAGAATTTTTCAGCAGTTGGATCTTAAGTGGTCTAAATTTTACCCCCATCCATACGCCCATTGCTTCATGCTCACAAGTAGTGCTTTTCAGTACAATTAAGTCCTGCTTTTTGAGAGTACAAAATTGTTAGCATGGTAGTGAGAACAGGCAGCCATTTTCACCTTCAAGATGTTTCAGATATGGAGGAACAGGGATGCATGAAATAAAAGTTTTAACCAGAATGGCTATAAAATACTGACATCTTGGCATCTCCATCCATAAAAGGACAGCCTTCTGAGCAGGCAGGTTCAAGTTTGTGGCGATTCCTAGATCTTAAGATGAAACATACCTCACCTATTATTTTACTGACTCCTAAAGCAAACAGGAGCTGCTCTGCAGACTATCTTTCCCAAGGAAATGAGTATTTCTCTTAAGTTTCACCAGTATGATGAAAAAAATAAACATGACACCTTGGGGCGCTATTGAGCAGTTAGCATGACATTGGCTCCAGGTAAAATCCTCAAAACCAGAAATAATTAAAGGATAGTTTTATGGCATGTAAATTGGCAGAGAAAATTGATAATTTGGGGCGGGTGGCTAATAGAAGGAACTGGGTAGAGGTAGTGTATTTTATTTTGCGTTAGTGTCATGCAACAGTAAGTTGAATGGCTGTGTTTAACTTTTCTATAGCACCAAGAAACCTGTGTTAAAGTACCTATTGCTGAATAAGAAGCTTTTAACACAGATCTTTACTGACTTGGTAAATTCCTAGTGAGTTACTGCAGGAAACAATTCTATACCAGGAGCAAGTCAACATTTTTGTGTGTGTTCTGGAAATACACCTAAGATACTGCTGATAAAACCTGCACCAAGACAAATATTAGTACAGTGATAAATAACAATGAAAATAGGGCAATGATACAGGGTATTTGATAAATGAGCTGCCTTCAGACAAAACGCTTTAAGGGTTTTAATGAGTTCGCATGAGGTTTTACTATCTCAGTGAAGAAGGTACTTGAATGGAGTCTCTGAAAGAGATTTAGATGCTGTTTCTCCATTGCAGCATGAACTTCTGTGATATTTCTGGCAAAAAACCTCATGTGATTCATGGCTACGTGAAA